GCTGTTTCAAGTCTCACGAACTTGGTAGTGGCACTCCTGTGATATTAACTTGGGCATCTTTAAGGGCATGAGTCAGAACATGAAGTCAGTGTGGATTGAGGCATGATGTGACTAAGGGAGAGGTATGTGGCAGTGACGATGACAGGTTTTGTGACAGACGACCCCACCTATGTTGCTTTCACTGTATTATGAGTCCCATGCTATTCTAAATGATGACAGTAGGAAATTGTTATGACTTCAGTGGAAATAAAACAAGGCAGTAAATAGAATCATAGAATCATAAAAAATAGGTTTGAAATGGACCCCATGAGGTCATCTAGTCAAAACCCCTGCTCAAAGCAGGACCATCTCCAACTAGTTCATTCTAGCCAGGGCTTTCCTGAGCCAGGCTTTAAAAACCTCCAAGGGTAGAGATTGCACAACCTCTCTAGGTAACTTGTTCCAGTGCTTCACCACCCTCCTAGTGAAAAAACTTTTCCTAATATCCTACCTAACCCTCCCTTGCTGCAACTTGAGTCCATTGCCTGTTCTTCTGTCATCTGCCAAGACTGAGAACAGTCTAGCTCCATCCTCTTTGGAACTGGGGTTCTATTAAATCCCCTCTCAGTCGTCTCTTCTGCAGATGAAATAAGCTTAGTTCCCTCAGCCTCTCCTCAGAAGTCTTGTTCCCCAGCCTTCTAATCATTTTGGTGCCCTCTACTGGACTCTCTCCAATTTGCCCATATCCTTTCTGTAGTGGCGGGGCACAAAACTGGATGCAGTATTCCAGTTTTGGCCTCACCTGTATCAAATAGAAGGAAATGATCACTTCCCTTGATCTGCTGGCAATGCTCCTACTAACACAGTCCAGTATGCCATTACCTTTTTTTACAACAAGGGCACACTGTTGGCTCATTTTCAGCTTATTGTCCGCCGTAACTCCCAGATCCTTTTCTGCAGAACTGCTGCTTAGCCAATCAGTTCTCAGCCTGTAACAGTATACTAGATTGTTCTGTCCTAAGTGCAGGACTTTGTACTTGTCCTTACTGAACTTCATGAGATTTCTTTTGGTCCAATACTCCAATTCATTAAGTTTTTCTGAATCAGAGCCCTATCCTCCAGTATATGTACTACTCCACCTAGCTTAGTGTCAACAGTAATTTGGCTGAGGGTGCACTCCATCCTATCTTCCAGTTTGTTAATGAAGTTATTGAACAAAACTGTCCCCAGAACCAACCCCTGGGGCACTTCACTTGATACTGGCTGCCAACTAGATATTGAACCACTGATTAATACCCTTTGAATCTGATAATTCATCCAGCTTTTTATCCACCTTACAGTCCTTTCATTCAATCCATACTGCCTTAACTTGTGAGAGATGGTATCAAAAGACTTGTTAAAGTCAAGGTATATCATATCTACTGCTCTTCCCACATCCACAGAGCCAGTCATCTCATCATAGGAAGTAATCAGGTTGGGCAGGCATGTCTTGCCCTTGGTGAAGCCATACTAATCCCCTTCTGATCCATACTGTACCTAATTCTCTTCTTCTCCTCCAGACGCTTAGAAATTGATTCCTTGAGAACTTGCTACATGATTTTTCCAGGGACTGAGGTGAATTTGACTGGTCTATAGTTCCCTGGATCCTCCTTCCCTTTTTTAAAGATTGGCACTATGCTTGCCCTTTTTCAATAATCTGGAACCTCTTTTGATCCCCATAAGTTTTCAAGGATAATGCCCAGGATCTCTACAATCATTCTGGCCAACTCCCTCAGTACCCTTGGGTACATCACATCAAACCCCATTGGCCTTGTACACTTCCAGCTTTTTTACAGAGTCCCTAACCTGTTCTTTCTACATCATCTGTCACTAGGTTGTCTTCCCCATTCAGTAAGGTACCCACACTTTCCCTATCTTCCTCTTGTTGCTGACATACTTGTAGAAACGCTTCTTGTTATTCTTATACTCATCCCAAGTTGTTTCTCCAAACTTTTACTTCTTGTAAGCCTTCTTTTTATGTTTCAGCTCACTGAAGAGTTCCTTGGTAAGTCAAGTTGGTCTTTTGCTATACTGCTAGTCTTCCTGTGCACCAGAATGGTTCGTTCCTATGCCCTCAGTAAGGTTTCTTTAAGGTACAACCAGGTCTCCTTTCCTCTTCTTTTGGACGCCCTTGCCCCTCAGACAGACTGCAAAGGGGATCCTGCCTATCAGTTCCCTGAGTGAGTCTGCTTTTCCAAAGTTCAAGGTTCTTACTTTGCTGCTTTCCTTCCTTCCTTTCCTCAGGATCCTATACTCAGTTATCTTATGATCTCTGCTGCCCAAGTTGCCACCCACTTCTATGTTCCCACCAATTTCTTCCTGTTTGTGAACAGCAGGTCAAGAAGACCGCTGCCCCTAGTTGGCCTCTCCAGCACCTATACCAGGAAGTTGTCCCAAACACTCTCTAAAAACTTCCTGGATTTTCTATGCACTGTTGTACTGCCCTACCAGCAGATTTTAGGGTAACTGAAGTCCTGCATGAGAACCAGGGCTTGTGATCTGGAAACCTCCACTAGTTGTTTAAAAAAAGCCTTGTCCACCTCATCTTCCCAGTCTGGTAGTTGTTGGCATTGGATTTAACCCATATACATTGTTCTGGGTGGGCCCAAGCCCTCAAACTGATCATGACTTCTCCAATCAACAATAGACAAATTTTATTGATACACAGTAATAGCAGATAAAAATAATGCAAGCCAGACAAACAATTCTATATCTGCCAGTCCTAGGGCTGTCACAGAGGGAAGATATGTCTGGCCAGTACACAAGCTTCACCCTGTGGCTTTCTCTTGAATGTCAACAGTCAGTAGCCTGGAGATAGAGGGCTGAGGCCCACCCCCCTCAGAGACACAGGTGAGATGGGCTTGTGTGCCCTCTGTCTTTGGTGGCCTCAGGTTTCCTTCTTGCAGACCCTTTGCTTCTCTGAAATCCTTCCTTTTGTTTCCTTTGTCCCCTGAAACCAATGCTGCAGAGTGCCCTATCTTTGCCTGGGTACACTGTTCATGTTATAGAAGAGTGTGGTACATGTCTTCAATTTCCCAGGCGGTGTGCCTGCTGGTTTCAGATACAGTGGGCCTTGAAGGAAACTTTGTTACAAACAGGCTTTTAGAAATCAATTAACACTTGCTGTTGCCCTGGGCCATTGTTCTAATGCATATCTACTTTACCTACAAGCCAGTTCCCAAAATCAAATCTCTAAATACCATTTTCTAGCCATCAGTGGTCGATAGCAGACACCCACCATGACATTGCCCTTGTTGCTCTCCCTTCTGACCCTAACCCAGAGACTTTGAACAAGCCTATCTCCAGTTTCCTACTGTACCTCTGAACAATTGTACATCTATTTGCCATAAAGAGCAACTCTTGTTCCTCTTTTTCCCGGCCTGTTCTTCCTGAAGTTTATATGCATTATACTCCAGTCATGCAAGCTATCCCATCAAGTCTCTTTTATTCCAAACACATCATAGTTATATGAGTGTACAAGGACTTCCAATTCTTTCTGCTTGTTTCCCAGTCTTTGTGCATTCATATACAGAAATCTGAGGTAACTGGCGGATTGACCTACTTTCTCAGGAAGAATGAGAAGGCCTCCCCTGCTTGTGCTTCCTCCGGGTCAACCCCTTCCCCACTTATCTCAGGGCTTTGGTCTCTATCCCCTGGTGAACCTAGTTTAAAGGCTGAAAATATGTCTGAGCATTTACTGTCTTGTGGGTCACTGAGCCTTAGGAAGAACATACCATATCTTCTTGCATACAAGATTCACCTTTCCCCAAAAATCAAGCCCCCTAAATTGGTATATGAGTATTAAGTGGAGAAGTTGATGTTTTTCTGGAATTAGAAATAGCCTGCTTGGATTCCTGTTCCTCAATACAGCAGCCATGGCATTACAATTCAGACAGCTAAAGGACTCAATTGACTTAATGGCTCATTTTTCTTCACTCCACAGGTGCTAAGAACTATCTTTTCTTTTTAATGGTATTTGTGTACCACTATTGAAGCTAATCTTTCCTAATCTTGTTGTCTGCTAGCTGCTCCTGGCCTCTCTCTTCCTATTTCACAGCCTAAACAGGAAAAAGAAGGTGAGTCAGCTGAACATAAGGCTCTATCCCTGCTCTGTGCAGTTATAACTCTGGAAAAATATTTTCTCTTTATTGTACCTTTCAAGATCACGTATACATTATATCCTGGCGTATGTTGTATGCAATAAAATATGTAAATATTTTCTTCTATATCATCCAGACCATATTTTTGAGACTGTAAGGCTCATTTTGTAGGTATGGTTCTGCAGGCTTGCACTATTTATTTGGAAGAACTGGGGCACCACAATATTCCAGTGGGGGAACAGCAACCTATTTTAGAGATAACCTAGCATGAGAGATGGGATCAGTGGGGGCACAACTGCAGTATCCTAAAACTATCCTGATCCCCAGTGCAAATGAGTTGCCATATTTTCAGGGGGCTACTTGAAAATCTAGGTTGTATTTCTGACAATCAGAGCCACACCACCCACTACACTATTGCTTACATGCCTCTCCATGAATAAATGGTCACGGAAGTGGAAGAGAGGGCCTGGAAGGAAATCTGCTGCTGCCCTCAGTGTACACTTCCACCCTTGCTCTCCTCTCAAGGGAACTGACCACATGAGTTTTTCAGGTTAATGAGAGTTTGTGGTGCAGGAGAAAGCTGCTACTCTACAAAATAAAAATAAAAATAAAATCTTATTTTTTCAGACAAAGTTGGGGTAATGGAAGAATTGTGATCGTGCAAAAACTGAGTCACTGTCATCCTCTTGGCATAATGTCCAGCTGTTTGCATTGTAAAGTAACCATGTAATTAGAACACAAGAATAGCCATTTCCTGGGTCAGACCATAGGTCCATCTTACCTGGTATTTATGTCACACAGTGGCAGAAAGTAGACGTTGAAAGAGAGAGTGAACTAGATATGACCAGGGTTTTTGTCACTGTTCCTCTATCACAGCCCCTAGCATTTAAAGTCTAAGAAGTTTTGATTCAAAGGCTGCATCCCTAACTCCCATGCTCAATAACTACTGATGCTACTTTCCTCCAAGAATTTGTCCAATGCTCTTTGAATCTGGCTAAACTTTCAGCTTCCATAACATCTGGTGGCAATACTTTAATTATAGGCTGCATGAACAAGAACCGCTTTTGTTAATTTTAAACTTACTATCTGCTAGTTTCATTTAATGAAACTAATAGCATGGTAAACCTGATGTGGTGTTTGTGTATGATAATTTTTTGCTCACATATTGTTTGATGAAGTCATTGTTACCAGATTTGCCCATCCTTTTGGGGTATGCTCGTTACTCTTCTGGGGTTGCTGTAATTCTATCAATGTGCTGCTTGTGTCACTTATGTTCCTATATGGAGCTGTATCTCTCCCTTCTGCAAGTCCTCACCCCCAGTGGAGCTACCTTGCAGGATTTGGTTTCAATGGGGATGGGTTCCTCCAGCTACCAAATCAATCAAACACAAACACACATAGGGCACATCTAGATGAGCACATGTGTGCCTGTTGCAGTGTCTCAACCCCCTTTGAGATGCTGCAACAGACATGTGTGGGAACAAAAACATGTTCCCCATGTGCGGGTGCTCTGCCCTGTGTGGGGCAGAGAACCCAGGCCTCCTAAGCAGCCCCCACACCCAAAGTCCTCCCACACCCACAGTCCCCCACTCCTACCCACACACTGACCTGCATCCCCCCACATCCCTCCATATCCACCTACACACACATCCACATCCCCCCACCTACTTCCCACCTCCCTCCTACAAACCCCACATCCCCACATCACATACCCACCATGTGATAAGGAAACCAAAAGCAAACATTAAAAACTATAGATATTTAGGATTTGTTTTATTATGATGCTAGAGATACTGGTAGGCTTCCAAACTGCTTTAACATTGTAAATATAGCAATAAAACATTGCCCATCTGATCAATCCCTCTCTCTCTCTCTCTTTTGTTCTAATTCTGGAATAACGTGGATTTGGGGGTATTTTAAAAGGTGAATTTGGTATGCTGCTTCAGCAGTCCATTTGGCACAAGGGGTAGTGTCCCCAGATACTAATTGCCCAGGCCCCAGAAGTTCCTGTCTATTTGTATGTTCCATATTAACTTGTGCCTTAAGTCCAACCCAGCTAACTAATAGCCCCTTTAGGGCCAGCTAACTAATAGCCCCTCTAGGGCCAAAGGGTGAAAGATACTAATTTCTTAGGACAACAAAAGCAAAAACAGGATAGGAGTGACGTGGGGGTCAAAGGGCCAAAATGTGAAAATAAGTTCTCCAGAGAGGGACACCGAGCAGAGCCCCTCCCTCCCCCCAGGCCACACTGACCAGTCCTCAAAGGCATCCAAGAAGCCCGGTGGATGCCACCCACTGGTGATCTGCCTGGAAACGTGTGCACACAAATCAGGGCCTGAAGCCAAGGGCCCACAGTGTGTCTGTGAGGTACCCATAATCCACTGTCTCAAATGCCTTCACCCGGTCAAAGGATAGGAGGGTGAAAAACATGCCCTCCCAGCATATTAGCTGAAGGAGGTCCTGAACCAGGTACAGGTTGTCGAAGATGGAATGTCTGGGTACTGTGTACATCTGGTCAGGATGTACAGACTGCAGGAGCAGTGAGAAGACCTTCACTGCCACCTTGTAGTCCATGCAAAGGAGGGACAAGGGACACCAGCTACTCAGGTTGCAGGGATCCCCCTTCTTTGACAGGTGGGTCAGCATGGCCCTCTGTCATGATGGGGGAGCACCCCACTTTCCTTGGATTCAGCCCCAACTGCAGCAAAGTCTGGACTGAGGACATCCCAGAAGGCCCAATATGCTGGAGTCCCTCCCACAGGGTCCGACAGGCTTCAGCATCAGTCAGATCCAGGGAGAAGAGCTCTTTGTAGAGGGCCTGCATGCACTGGTGCATCTCAGTTGGATTCATGAGGGGGGTGCCATCACCAGCCAGAAGTCAGGTGATGTACTTCTTGGCCCCTCACCTCCTCGCCAGGGCATAAAAGAATCAGGAACCATAGTCCATCTCCTGAAGGAGCTGGACGTGTGAGCGGACAAATGCACTGCAGGTGTGGTGGTCGTCCAGAGCACGAGGCTCTTCCCGCCTCTCCTGACACTGTCCACAGAGGGACGTGTTGGTTGGGTCAGTGGCCAAGTGCCTGTCCAGCTCCAGCACTTCCTGCTCGAGCTATTCCTAAACTGCTTCCCTCTGCTGGGTGCACCCTTGAGTGTAGCTGTAGCAAAAAAAGCCAGATGCACATCTTCCCCATGTCCCACCATCTCTGACCTGAGGTGAAAGCTGCCCATTGCTCCTACCAGGCCAGCCAGAACTCCCAGAAGGCCTTCATGAAGACCACAACCTCAAGGAGACTGACATTGGATGACCCCAGGGGATGACCCTGGATACTCAGGCCCTAGTGTGGCCTGGGCCCAGGGACAAAGTGGTGACCTGGGTAGGTTTTTATACTTCTGGGGCCACCAAAGGTGCTGGCCCCAGGCTCTAACTCCCCCTGGCTGCAGATCTGGAAGAATCCAGGCAGGATTATTTTGCCCCAAATGGCACAATTTGTTCCACAACAAAGTGCAAGTCTGGGCACATGCACTGATGCAAAAAGCCCCAGCTTATATTTGCACTGCTTCTATTTGAGCTGCTGCAAGCACACATGCTTTCATGTGTGGCCGCGCCCATACAGGTTAGCAGAGCACCTCTGAGTCAGGCTAGGTTACGCAACATTTCCAGGCTGATACCCTCATGTGCCCCAACCTCAGCACAGGAATAGAATATGTCTGTGCCAGCTGGGTCAGTCAGCATTTACAAGCTAACCACCCCATATGTCACAACTCAGCACAGTAGGGCAATCAATAAAACACAGTCAGAAACACACACACAGGTTAATAGGGTACCTCTGAGTGGGCAGGGTTATTCAGCACTTCCAAACTGACACCCTCATGGGCCCTGGCTCAACACACCCCTTATTTCAGCAAGACAATAATAAATGCAGTTAGACACACATATACAAATGCTAACAGGGTACATCTGAGCAGGCTGGGTCTGATCAGCACTTTCAGCTGATACCCTCATGTGTCTCAAAACTCAGCACGTCGCAATCTCTTGTCATAATTGTCCTAGTAGTAACTCCCTTGATGGGCAGACCCCGCAGGATCTCTGGGCTTTACAGGGATCTTTGGCTTAGGTAAAAGAAGTGTTGCTACAGAGCAGGTGGGGAGGTAGATGAGAAGGAAGAATAAGTGAGGTTCAGAGAAAGAGTATAGCAACCAGCTTGACTATAAAAATTAGTTTATTGCCAGGTATATGACGTTTATGATGATACTAGTAGTAATAGCCATATAAGGAAAAACAAACACAACAGTTACACTATTACACAGTTTCAATGAAGTATTTGGGGAAGTCTAGCTCAAATTTGAACAGCGAAAGTCAGGTTTAGAAAGCTGTGCCTGGAGTAAGAAAGAGAAGGAGAGAGAGGGATTGAATCAAGTCTGAGGTTTAAAAAGTGGGCTTAAACAAAAGAGGAAGAGAGAGAGAGAGAGTTGGGATCTCATCACTCCAGGGTTCCCAGATCTTTGTTGACAGGCAGAGCCCCCAGCACACTCATTGAAGGTATTCCAGACAGAAAAGGAGTGAAACTGGTGCAGCTTTTGGATCCAAGCACCAGGACAGAGACTAGAACTGAGGTAGGGGTTTTTCTAGGGGCTTAAGGGAGAACACTAGGTTAGTTTATGCATAAACGATGGCTCATATGCAGGATAATAGGAACTGATCAGCCCTGGCTATGGGTGGAATTACCCTGAGGAAGCTCACAATGCAAACAGGCAGATTCAGTGTTTTGGGTACCAATAAATGAGTCATTACTAGATTTGGTCTGATAAATGCTGACATGGGTTGATTAGCATTTGGAACAGGGATCCCCCATCATGCAGTGCTCCCCTGCTTCTCAGTTCAGTCCTTGCCTTGGAATCTCTGTTCTCTGTTCTGAATGCCAATGAAGGTGCCTCCCTGTCTCATCTCCGATGTAAATGAGACCAAGGGTTTTCTTATCCTGTCCTGAGGGGGTTAGGTGTATCCTTCACTGCATCTTCATTGACTTTTCTAAGTCCTTCTTCTGATCAATTCTGGTTCAGGCAGAGGTTGGGGGCAGGGAGGGGGAAAGGGTCAGACAGGGTGGATACTGCTCAAGCGTTCCCCAGAATACAGAGCTGACAGGTAACATCAGTTTGCTAGAGACGTATGAATAATAATCTCCAATAGCATCCATAATTTGGTTATTTCCTGTAGTTTAGCAATCTAGAGATACTGTATACTTAAAACTTTCAAATACACCTCTCATTCTTTAACCAGTATCTGCAGCTGGGGGAATTGTAGAGGGAGATGGTCCAAAAAAACTGAGGAAATTCCGAAACCAAGAAACTTCTTATTTTATAAGACATTCGGCAAGAGACAATGGTATACTAAATGACCACATACAGCAAAGTCCAAACACTTAAAACAAGAAAATAAATAATGAACATAATCAATTTTTAGTTAAATCTATCCATGTTTATATATTCTTCTTTTCATGTAGAATACATGATTTCACTACAATGCCATATTAATTCCGTCCCATACTACATACTGGTCTTTCACTAATGCTCTTCACATAGAAACACAGTGATTAGAGTTTCTAAAATAGAAGTAAAGACTGTAAATGTATACATTAAATAAGAGGAAACACTGGTCAACCAGAAATTTGTAAAAAAAATCAAAAGGATGCACTTCCACCTTGTAAATGCATTACTAAGAAATAGTCACTATGGATATCAAAAATAGCTTTTGCTGTCAATAATCATGAATAGTATTATCAGCTAAATATGTTTTAGAATATCTCTTAAAAGGAAAATATTTCAATACAGATGCAATATTATTCCTTTGCACTTAAGAAGAGTACTAGCAGAGATTCTTTAAAGCTTTCTATATCAGCAAATTAGTCTTATATAGATTATATGGACAGTGTAAGATTTTTCATGACCCCTCTATTAATTTTTAAGTGCTTGGATTTTGCAAATGGTGTTATAGGTGAGTATGCAACCTTGAAAGTGTTTTGAAATGAAGAT